GCTACCAGGGGAGACCACGGCTGCTCAGGAGGTAAAGCAGCGGGAGGCAGGGAACACTCCAGCCTTTTTTTTCTAACCAGCAGCAAGTTTTTTTTTGTTTTTTTTTGTTTTTTTGGTTTTTTTTTGGACAAGAAGTACATTTATTGGTTCATATTATGAGGGGACAGCACAGTGGAAGCCCTCGTGAGTGCAGGGCCCGCCACTTGTCCAGAGGGCCACGATTGGGGATGTACTTAACCCCACAGCCATCTGGAATGAGCCGCTTCTCAGCCACCATGTCTTCAAATTCATCAGCACTGAACTTGGTGAAGCCCCACTTCTTTGAGATGTGGCTCTTCCGGCGGCCAGGGAACTTGAACTTGGCCCTGCGCGGGGCCTCAGTCACGTGCTCCTTGTTCTGCAGCTTGGTGCGGATGGACATGATCACTTGGCCAATGTGAACCCTGGCCACAGTGCCCTGGGGCTTTCCAAAGGCACCTCGCATGCCTGTTTGGAGCCTACATTGGGGCAGCGGCAAGGTGAGACACATGAACATACATCTGGAAGGCCTGTCTCCAAGGTCCCTTAGAGCAACCCATCCAAGAAACAGGCTGCATGCACTACCAAGGAAGCTGCTGTTTGCGGCCATTGCACACTGGGCCCCCATGAGGAAAGGAACCCAGTCGGTTTAATTGGCTGCGGTAGCAGCAGGTTTTAAAAGAGCCTGGCGACACCCTGCTTCCCCGGGGTTTACCTAAAATTTTTCTCCAGCCTTGGGAATCGGTTTAACTTCTCTTCCCTTCCAGCGCAACACAGACTTTCACCAGTTTCCTCGCCCAAAGCTTAGCTTTCAGAACATGGACGCCCTTTCTCCTACCTGGAGGAGAGAACAAAACCCAAAGGCCGCTGTCCGTTTTCTTGTCTCACGGCTTGCTCGGCCAAAAGCAGCCAGGACATCCCACGAGCCCACCCTGCTGCAGCCGGATCTATCCGTTCTCGCTCTGTCGTCTGCCAACTCACAGCAGACAGCTCAGCCATTGTTTCATACCGTGAATAGACTCCACAGCCACCCAGGCACCGACGGCTTACCATCCCCTACCCTTCATCCTTCCTTTTTTCCAAACAGTGCTTTTGCCATATTTCAGTGAGTCAGGGTCATCCTAGCAATCCCACCTCTTGTGCCAACTCTGTCAGTGACCCCAAGACCACTCCTGCATCCTGCTGGTAGGAGTCACAGGACGCGACATACGGTCATACTCGTGACTGTGCTTTGATACGACAGAAGGACACGTAGGAGGATCAGCAGTGGGAAGGGACATGGGGAGAAGTGTAAATGAAACCCGGTCGAGCTTTAAGGAGTGCTTTCCCAGTGGGGTCATGCAGAGTGCATCTGATTCCCGCAGCAATGAGTTGTGACAACCTATGAAATGGCCACTGAAGAAGCTCCTTGGAGACTCAGTGCCCAGGAATTTTTTTTTTTTTTTTTTTTTTTGAGACGGAGTTTCGCGCTTGTTACCCAGGCTGGAGTGCAATGGCGCGATCTCGGCTCACCGCAACCTCTGCCCCCTGGGTTCAGGCAATTCTCCTGCCTCAGCCTCCTGAGTAGCTGGGATTACAGGCACGCACCACCATGCCCAGCTAATTTTTTGTATTTTTAGTAGAGACGGGGTTTCACCATGTTGACCACGTTGGTCTCGATCTCTTGACCTCGTGATCCACCCGCCTCGGCCTCCCAAAGTGCTGGGATTACAGGCTTGAGCCACCGCGCCCGGCCTGAATTTTTTTTTTTTTTTTAATGAAGTCTGTGTTGCCCAGGCTGGAGTGCAATGGTGCAATCTTGGCTCACTGCGACTTCCACCTCCTGGGTTCAAGCTATTCTCATGCCTCGGCCTCCTCAGTACCTAGGATTACAGGCCTGCACCACCACACCCGGCTAATATTTGTATTTTTAGTAGAGCTAGGGTTAGACCTGTTGGCCAGGCTGGTCTCAAACTCCTGACCTCAAGTGATCCACCCACCTCAGCCTCCCAAAGTGCTGGGGTGACAGGTGTGAGCCACTGTGTCTGGCCAGTGCCCAGGCTTTTTGTTGCTGGCTGATCACATAAGCGTCCTCTGCCTGGCATGTACACAGATGCCGTTTCTAGAAGGAAAGCCATTGTTGAGTGTTAACAGTGCTGTTTGCACCATGAGTAATCTGAAGTAGGGCGGTGTGAACCTTCCCAAAACCCATGTTCCCAGACATCAGCTAAGGACAGCATTGCCAGAAAGCCTTTCTAAATATCAAGGCTAAGGTTGGCAATGTTAATGCCTTTGTGCATATGGGAACTTTATTTTTAACACACTGCAAATATACTGCACTATGAGCTGTTAAAACTGACCCAGGCTTGTCATTTTGTTCCCTGTACCAATACTAGGGTGCTATAGATCCTCTGCTGCTGTGTTGAACGGGCATGTTCTAGCATCAGAATTGCTGCTTGACAATATTCTGTCTCCTGCTCACAAATGTTAGTGAGTTTATCTTTTTCAGAAAGCAGAGTTTGAAGGAACCGTACATCTCAGTGATTCCTGTGCTCAGGGGTTGAGCTATCATGCACCTGTGCCCCATATGGAGTATGGAAATGAGGAGTAGAGAGTGCAGCATCTAGACAGATATGTGGGGAGTCACTTCCTCCTGGAATTGGAGACATGGAATTTTGTAGGAAGGCACTATTGAGTCCTTTCTGTCTTTTATAACCATGGCAAATTCATAGTCAAATGGTTTGGATTTCAGTTAACTCCTTTGCAAAGTGGGACTCTTAACTTTATCCTTAAGGTTAGCAAGAATTATTATTATTTTGTTTTTTGAGACTGAGTCCCACTCGATCGCCCAGGCTGGAGTGTAATGGCGTGATCTCGGCTCACTGCAACCTACGCTTCCCAGGTTGAACCGATTCTTGTGCCTCAGCCTCCTGAGTAGCTGGGACTACAGGCATGAACCACCAATGCCTGGCTGATTTTTTGTTGTTGTTGTTTGGTTTTTTTTTGAGGCGGAGTTTCGCTCTTGTTACCCAGGCTGGAGTGCAATGGCGCGATCTCGGCTCACCGCAACCTCCGCCTCCTGGGTTCAGGCAATTCTCCTGCCTCAGCCTCCTGAGTAGCTGGGATTACAGGCACGAGCCACCATGCCCAGCTAATTTTTTTTGTATTTTTAGTAGAGACGGGGTTTCACCATGTTGACCAGGATGGTCTCGATCTCTCGACCTCGTGATCCACCCGCCTCGGCCTCCCAAAGTGCTGGGATTACAGGCTTGAGCCACCGCGCCCGGCTCTTTTTTTTTTTTTTTTTTTTTTTTTTTGCATTTTCAGTAGAGGCAGGGTTTTGCTATGTTGGCCAGGCTGATCTTTTTTGTTTGTTTTGTTTTGTTTTGTTTTGTTTTGTTTTGTTTTGTTTTGTTTTGTTTTGCTTTTGGCCAGGCTGATCTTGAACTCCTGACCTCAAATGATCTGCCCACCTCAGCCTCCCAAAGTGCTGAGATTACAGGCATGAGCCACCATGCCGGCCCAAGAATCCTTTTTCTTGGCTCTGGTGAAAAGAGTTGTTTTGGCATTGTATACACCTCACTCTGTGTATATTTAGTGAGTGTGCCTGTGTGTACGAGAAAGAGCACAACCGTGCACCCAGAAGTGTGTGAGACAGAGCAATCACTCAGGATTAATTTTTGGGCTTCCATCACTGAGGCTTGCAGTGTAGAGAATGTGTGGAGTTCTACGTTCTCATGTCCTTAGTTCCTCTTTCCTAAGGTCTAATTTCTCAATAACTTCTAGTTTCCGAGTTAAAATTAATACATCTCGAAAGAATGTTTTCATTCAGCCAGGTGGACCTTGAGTCCTTTAAGACGCTGTGGCTACCTGACCCTCATTGCAGCTTGGGTCCTCTCAGGCCCCTTGGCCTGATGTTTGGTGAAGGAGGCAGAAGGGAGTGTTCCCAGTCCTTCAGTGTTTTTTTGGTTTTGTTTTGTTTTGTTTTGTTTGAGATGGAGTCTCACTCTTGTCCCCTAGGCTGGAGGGCAGTGGTGTGACCTCGGCTCGCTGCAACCTGCGCCTTCCAGGTTCAAGCGATTCTCCTGCCTCACCCATCCTGAGTAGCTGGGACTACAGGTGCGAGCCACCACGCCCAGCTAATTTTTGTACTTTTCATAGAAAGGGGGTTTCACCATGTTGGCCAGGCTGGTCTGGAACTGGTGACCTCAGGTGATCAGCCCACCTCGGCCTCCCAAAGTGCTGGGATGACAGGCGTGAGCCACTGTGCCCAGCCAGTGTTTTTATCCCTTAAAACTTCATTCAAGCCGGGCGCGGTGGCTCAAACCTGTAATCCCAGCACTTTGGGAGGCTGAGGCGGGTGGATCACGAGGTCAAGAGATCGAGACCATCATGGTCAACATGGTGAAACCCCGTCTCTACTAAAAATACAAAAAAAAAAAAAAAAAATCAGCTGGGCATGGTGGCGCGTGCCTGTAATCCCAGCTACTCAGGAGGCTGAGGCAGGAGAATTGCCTGAACCCAGGAGTCAGAGGTTGCGGTGAGCCAAGATCGCGCCATTGCACTCCAGCCTGGATAACAAGCGCGAAACTCCGTCTCAAAAAAAAAAAACTTCATTCAGTTTTGACCCTGTGTTTTCTGTGTTGCCACATGATGTTGTGTGTAGCAGGGAAGGAGCTAAAACAGTTTGTGTGGCAAGAGATTGATGGTCTTAAAATGGAAATATTTGTTTCATTTTTATAGCATTTGTTTGATAGCTCCAGTGTGGTCTGAATCCTTTTGATAGAGAGTAATGTCTTCAGTTGGTCACAGTAAAAGTACAGAGATAAATTCAGTGTGTGTGAGGAAGTGAGTGTAGACAGGATGGAAAAGGTGTGACAGCTGAGTCTCAGGGTAGATGTCAGGGGACCACAGAATCTTGTTTGAACTATGTACGAATTGAGTACCGTGCTCCTGGGCTGTCAGTCTCAACCGTTCTCCCATAAATACGTTGAATGTTTTAGGACTCAGTGGTCTTTGAGGATGTGGCTGTGGACTTCACCCTGGAGGAGTGGGCTTTGCTGGATTCTGCTCAGAGGGACCTCTACAGAGACGTGATGCTGGAAACCTTCCAGAACCTGGCCTCAGTAGGTAAGGATGATGTCATTCCTTCCTTCACTTACTTAGAGAACAAGTATTTCTTACACATCAGACCTGTTCCAAGGCTTGGAATGTAGAAAGGGAATCAATTGGTAAATAAGACAGATGTAGTCACTGCTGTCATAGAACTAGAATGTTATGGTTTTTCCATGAGAATGAGAATCTATGTTTTTTTTGGGAAACGAAGTCTTGCTCTGTCACCAGGCTGGAGTACAATGGTGTGATCTCGGCTCACTGCAACGTTCACCTCCTGGGTTCAAGCCATTCTCCTGCCTCAGCCTTCCAAGTAGCTGGGATTACAGGCACACATCAACACACCCAACTATTTTTTGAATTTTGTTTTTTGCTCCCCTCCCTGCGTCCTGTGTGTTGTCATTGTTCAACACCCACCTATGAGTGAGAACATGCAGTGTTTGATTTTCTGCTCTTGTGTCAGTTTGCTGAGAATGATGGTTTCCAGGTTCATCCATGTCCCTACAAAGGACACAAACTCATCATTTTTTATGACTACATAGTATTCCATGGTGTATATGTGCCACATTTTCCCTGTCCAGTCTATCATCGATGGGCATTTGGGTTGGTTCCAGGTCTTTGCTATTGTAAACAGTGCTGCAATGAACATTCATGTGCATGTGTCCTTATAGTAGAATGATTTATAATCCTTTGGATATATACCCAGTAATGGGAATTGCTGGATCAAATGGGAATTTCTATTTTCTAGGTCCTTGAGGAATCGCCACACTGTCTTCCACAATGGTTGAACTAATTTACACTCCCACCAACAGTGTAAAAGTGTTCTTATTTCTCCGCATCCTTTCCAGCATCTGTTGTCTCCAGATTTTTTAATGATCGCCATTCTAACTGGCATGAGATGGTATCTCTCTGTAGTTTTGATTTGCATTTCTCTAACAACCAGTGATGATGACCATTTTTCATGTTTGTTGGCCCCATGTATGTCTTCTTTTGTAAAGTGTCTGTTGTCGTGGACCATCGGGATGGGTAGGCACGTCTGCCCGGGGGTCTCTCGACCTGCAAGAGGGTCCCAATACCTGGAAGAGGGAGTGCGCCTGAGAAAATAATAAAGACAGAGAGAGAAAAAGCGAGGCGTCTGGAGGGCTGATAGGCTGTGCCTAAACAGCAAATTTTATTTTTCAAATGCCAGGAATAAATACACTTTCTTGGCTTTGATGAGGAAGCATTCTGTCCGTGCTCTCTTATTTGGAGTAGGTGAGCTTACATGAACCATTTTTCTGGGTATTGCCTGGGGTGATACGGCTGTAACTCTACCTCTGCTGCCTTAGCATCTGGCTTTTTGATGGAAAAGCACAAAGGATCTCCAGAGCCTCAGAGTATGATAAACTGCAGATGAGGCCCTTCTGGTCCAGTCTTAAACACAGACCACAGGCCTTCCACATGGCCTATACAATAGAGAAAGTCAGATATGCGATCAATGGTTGTAAAAAGTAACAAAATTTTCTACAATCACAAAGCTTGTTTATATCTAAACATCATCAAAACATTATTCAGGAGACTTGTTTATATCAAAACATTATTCAGGAGACTTGTTTATATCAAAACATTATTCAGGAGACTTGTTTATATCAAAACATTATTCAGGAGACTTGTTTATATCAAAACATTATTCAGGAATCTCTGAGTCAGGAATCCAAGCCATCCCTTATGGTGGCATTTTTCTTTGCAAATATCAACAGTTAAACCATTATCTAGGGTACAAGGCAGTTAGGTAAGTAAAGGTTAAAACTTATTCTTAAAGTCATAAAAAGGTCATAGCAGGAACTGGTTGCTGGTAGGGGGTTACTCGGTCTAGCAGCAACGCATAGTTTTAGGCCCAAACGATATTGTGGTTGATATTAGAAACTGATCATTCATCTTTCTTCCTATATTTCCGGATAGCTCGACTGCCTCCAGTAGGAAACTGTGTTTGGGATCAAACTCACCGTATAGTGAGACTCACGCCTTTTAGGGGTCTCACACGGGAGTGTTCCCCACAGTCTGTTCATATCCTTCACCCACTTTTGAATGGGCTTGTTTGTTTTTTTTCTTGTAAATCTGTTTTAGTTCTTTGTAGATTCTGGATATCAGCCCTTTGTCAGATGGGTAGATTGCAAAAATTTTTTCCCGTTCTGTTGATTGCCGATTCACTCTAATGACTGTTTCTTTTGCTGTGCAGTGTATTTATTTATTTATTTATTTATTTATTTTAAATTTTTAAATTTTTTGGTAGAGACAGGGTTTCACCATGTTGGTCAGGTTAGTCTCAATCTCTTGACCTTGTGATCCATCTGCCTCGGCCTCCCAAAGTGCTGGGATTACAGGTGTGAACCACCACGCCCAACTGAGAATCTGTGTATTAAGCTGACTCTTTCTTTATGTAAAGAAAGCTCCCTTCATTCCATCTTTGTGGATGTGGCTTTGATAGGCCTAATGAAGTTTGTTTTTGCAAGCCAGTGAAAATTTCATTATTATTATTATTATTTTGAGATGGAGTTTCGCTCTTGTTACCCAGGCTGGAGTGCAATGACGTGATCTCGGCTCACCGCAACCTCCACCTCCTGGGTTCAGGCAATTCTCCTGTCTCAGCCTCCTGAGTAGCTGGGATTACAGGCACGCACCACCATGCCCAGCTAATGTTTTGTGTTTTTAGTAGAGGTGGGGTTTCACCATGTTGACCAGGATGGTCTCGATCTCTTGACCTTGTGATCCGCCCACCTCGGCCTCCCGAAGTGCTGGGATTACAGGCATGAGCCACCGCGCTCAGCCTAAATTTCATTATTTTTAAAAAATAATTTTTCTGTGTTTACCAGTACTGTGTTGATTGAATTGCTTACCATTTTGACCATTTTGCATTTGACAAAGTCCTGAAATAGCTAAACTCCTCAGTGTCATTTTCAAGCTAACAAGTGCCTTCTAACATAATTTGTTTACTTTTTGGTTTCAGATGATGAAACTCAGTTTAAGGCCAGTTGTTCAGTTTCTCAGCAGGATATTTATGGAGAAGAAATATCCAAGGAATCTAAAATAGCAGAGTTCACCAGAAATGTTTCCTGGGCCTCTGTTTTGGGGAAAATTTGGGACGATCTTAGCATTGAAGATCAGCATGCAAACCAGGGGAGAAATCTCAGGTGAGTTTCACTCACAAGAGAACACAGTATTTCAGGAGAACATCTCAGTCTGTCATTAAACTTTAAGCAAGCAAACGAAAACTCGTATAACCCTAGCTGCAAATTTATTTAATCCACAGAACTTTTACAAATAATATTTCTTTAAATGTGGCATAGATATTGAGTGTTAGAAACATAATTCAGATGGAAACTGTTATCAAGAAACCCTCGGACGGGCATGGTGGCTCACGCCTGTAATCCTGGCGCTGAGGTGGGCAGATCACTTGAGGCCAGGAGTTCAAGGCCAGCTTGGCCAACATGCTGTAACCCCATCTCTACTAAAAATACAAAAATTGGCAAGGTGTGGTGGCACAAGCCTGTAATTCCACTTACTTGGGAGGCTAAGGCAGAATTGCATGAACCCAGGCGGCAGAGGTTGCAGTGAGCCAAGACTGCATCGCTGCACTCCAGCCTGGGTGACAGAGTGAGACTCTGTCTCAGAAAAAAAAAAGAAACCCTGTACATAAGAAACACTGATTTTTTTATTTTATTTTATTTTATTTTATTTTATTTTTTGAGTCTTACTGTTTTCCAAGATAGAGTCCAGTGGCATGATCTTGGCTAACTACAATCTTCTCCTCCCAGGTTCAAGCAATTCTCCTGCCTCAGCCTCCTGAGTAGCTGGGATTACAGGCCCCCGCCAACATGGCAAGCTAATTTTTGTATTTTTAATAGAGACAGGATTTCACCGTCTTGGCCAGGCAGCCCTTGAGATCTTGACCTCGAAGAAACACTGTTTTAGTAATGGCAGTGGTCAGACCATCTTCCACAGCATTCACTTTATCTCATTTTCAGGCAATTCAGATAGGACGAAAGACCTATACTTTCACTGAAAATGGTTAAAATGCAATCCTAATAGTTCCTAATAGTTACTAACAAATCATTAATGAAATCATCAGTAACATGCTTTCATTTTCAGTAGAAGTCATGTGTTGGAGAGAGTCTGTGAAAGTCGTGATCAATGTGGAGAAGACTTCCGCCAGATTCCAGACCTGCATCCATACAAGAACATTCCTCCTGGAGTGAAACAGTATGAATACAACGCATACGGAAAAGTCTTCATGCGTCGCCACACATCCCTCAGGAGTCCTGTCACGGTTCACACCGGACGCAAACCACATCAGTGCCAGGAATGCGGGCAGGCCTACAGTTGCCGTTCACACCTAAGAATGCATGTGAGAACCCACAATGGAGAGAGACCTTATGTGTGTAAATTATGTGGGAAAACCTTCCCTCGTACCTCTTCCCTCAATCGGCATGTACGAATCCACACTGCTGAGAAAACCTACGAATGTAAGCAATGTGGGAAAGCCTTCATTGACCTCTCCAGTCTTACTAGTCATCTCAGAAGTCACACTGGCGAGAAGCCATATAAATGTAAGGAATGCGGGAAAGCTTTCAGTTACTCCTCAACGTTTCGAAGACACACAATAACACACACTGGAGAGAAGCCGTATAAATGTAAGGACTGTGGGGAAGCCTTTAGTTATTCCTCAACTTTTCGAAGACATGTGATTTCACACACTGGAGAGAAGCCACATAAATGTAAAGAGTGTGGGGAAGCCTTCAGTTACGCTTCGGCTTTTCGAAGACACATGATAACGCACACTGGACAGAAACCCTACGAATGCAAACAGTGTGGGAAAACATTCATTTATCTCCAGTCCTTTCGAAGACATGAAAGGATTCACACTGGAGAGAAACCCTATGAATGCAAACAGTGTGGGAAAACCTTTATTTATCCCCAGTCCTTTCGAAGACATGAACGGACTCATGGTGGAGAGAAACCCTATGAATGTGACCAGTGCGGGAAAGCGTTCAGTCATCCCTCATCTTTCCGCGGACACATGAGAGTGCACACGGGAGAGAAACCCTATGAGTGCAAGCAGTGTGGGAAAACTTTTAATTGGCCCATATCTTTACGAAAACATATGAGAACACACAATAGGGAGAAACCCTATGAATGTAAGCAGTGTGGGAAAGCCTTCAGTTTGTCCGCCTGCTTTCGGGAACATGTGAGAATGCACCCTGAAGACAAATCCTATGAATGCAAGCTATGTGGGAAAGCGTTCTATTGCCACATATCCTTACAAAAACATATGAGAAGGCACACCGCAGAGAAACTCTATGAGTGCAAGCAGTGTGGGAAAGCCTTCAGCTGGCCTGAACTTTTGCAACAACATGTGAGAACACACACCGTAGAGAAGCCCTATGAATGTAAGGAATGTGGGAAGGTCTTCAAATGGCCTTCATCTTTACCAATACATATGAGACTGCACACTGGAGAGAAACCTTACAAATGTAAGCATTGTGGGAAAGCATTTAATTGTTCCTCATCCTTAAGACGACATGTGAGAATACACACTACAGAGCACTACAAGTGCAAAGTGAGACACCCTCCTGCAAATGAATTCATGTGCAATGCTTCAGAAAAGCCACACCAGGAGAGAGAGCTGATCAAAGTTGTAAATGTGGTACTGCCTTTATGAGTTCCTTATCCTGAAAGTGCACAGTTCAGGAGTTTGTCTGTAGTTCATTTGCAAATAAACATGTAGGTGAAAAGTAATCCTCTAAATAGTCTTAGCTATTCTACATGAATTTTAACATGTAGTTTTGGGTTTTTTTCTTACAATTCAGTAAATAAAACTTTCCTCTTACATTTTTTGGACTCATGGATGATTTGAAGTATAATATAATATGCAAGTAGGTTCAGGTTTAATTTCTTAAATTGTAACTGACTTAGTGTGGCAGATACTGGATCTCACTTCCCTATTATATTTCCCACCTTTCTTCCTGGGAGTGTTGGTATTGTTTGGCCAGAGGAACCTTATTCCATCTTCTTTCTAAGAAGTAGTCAGCAGAATTTTGTAATTATGCAAAGTTGTTTAAAGAGTGTAGTCTCAAATGAATTGTCGTTTTTAATGTTGGCCCCTTGCCATTTGTCTCTGCTTGTGATTGTGTATTGGACACTAGGCTTTGACTCCTGATACAACAGAAACTTCTAGAGCTGCAGATAGTTCTGCATTGTATATCAGTGTGAGTAATGTTAGGAACTGCATTTTCTGGACTGTATTTCCTTTATGATTCCATGTCCAAGTTTACCAATAGCAATAACCTGAATGAAATTTTGAATGAAGAAGTGAAGTCATCACTGAGCTTTTGGGGTCACAGTAAATGGAGGCAGACAGATGCATGGGGCTTCTCAAACATCAGTCTTCAGCTTGTTTTCCAGATCCTTGTTCCTTCCAGTCAAGAGTACTTGATTTCCACTTTTTGTCAGAGGCATAGTCTTCTACAGATGTCTGCATGAACTTGGTATCAGGGATATGCCTGTGTGGTCAATCACCTACAGTTAGGATTTTTCTGAAAATCTACATGATCTCTTGACCACGGATACAGACTGTCTTGTTTGGCAGTCTCTGAGCTGCTGATTCTCCCATTCTGTAGATCTTAACATATTTGCTTAGGATCTAATTTATATGGTGAATTCCTTGTTCTCTTAATACTTCCAGTGGCTCTGTGATCCTGATTCGACCACAAACGCCACAGTGTTGCAGCCAAAGAAGAAAAACAACACATGGGACTTTGTACCTTATTACATTTCTTTGTTTTTTGTCTTTTTAATTTTGTACCCTGTTGCATTTTTAAGGATGCTGGCCCAGTCCTATGTGAAAGATAGGACTTCCTGAGATACCAGATTTAGGAAGATTTCTACTACTCAGCGCTAAATGCACTTTCCTGATACAGGTTGAATTATTAGATTTGATTATATGTCATTAAAATAATGTGGCTTTTGTTTCAAGGAAAACCTTCTGTAGATATTTCTTAGAAATATCCTATTTAGTCAAATACAGTGGCTCACACCTGTAATCCCAGCACTTTGGGAGGCCAAGGTGGGAAGGTCACTTGAAGTCAGGAGTTCGAGACCAGCGTGGTCAACATGGTGAAACCCCATCTCTACCAAAAATACAAAAATTATCTAGGCCTGGTGGTGAGTACCTGTAATCCCAGCTACGTGGGAGGCTGAGGTGGGAGAATCGCTTGAACCGGGGAGGCAGAGTTTACAGTGAGCCGAGATCACACTGTTGCACTCCAGCCTGGGTGACAGAGAAAGACTCCATTTTGAAAGCAGAAAAAGAAGTATCCTATGTACTGTGCTTTGAAATTAGTGGCCTAGACTCTATAATTTCCCAGGGCTGCCACAACAAAGTACAAAAACTGGGTGACACAGGAAAACTAACTTTGTTTCTCAGTTCTGGAGCCAGAAATCTAGAAACAAGGCATTGGCAGGACCATGCTTTTTCTGAAGAGGCTAGGGAAGGCTCTGTTTCAGAACTCACCTAGCTTCTGGTAGTTCCTTAGCTCATGGTAGCACAATTCTTAATTTTCACATGGCATTCTCCCTGTGTATATATCTCTCCATGCAGCAGTATTTTTATATGTATACACCACTCATCGCCTCCAGTATGATTTTACCTTAACTAATTATGTTGGCCGCAACTCTCTTTCCACATACTGAAGTACTAGAGATTAAAATTTCAACATAAAAATTTGGGGGGCCCCAATTCAACACATAACACTAAGAAATGTTATTTTTTGTTTACCGAGAGAATTAATGGATTTCAAGTCAACTTTGTAATTTTGTTAATTTAAGCATATTACATTTTGAATCATTATTACCAGGTACATACAAGTACAGGGTCTTTTTTTCTTTTTTTTTTTTTGAGACGGAGTTTTGCTCTTGTTACCCAGGCTGGAGTGCAATGGTGCGATCTCGGCTCACCACAACCTCTGCCTCCTGGGTTCAGGCAATTCTCCTGCCTCAGCCTCCCGAGTAACTGGGATTACAGGCACGTGCCACCATGACCAGCTAATTTTTTGTATTTTTAGTAGAGACGAAGTTTCACTATGTTGACCAGGATGGCCTCGATCTCTTGACCTTGTGATCCACCCGCCTCGGCCTCCCAAAGTGTGGGATTACAGGCGTGAGCCACCGCGCCCAGCTTAAGTACAGGGTCTTTTTTTTGTCATATAAATGTTATTTTAAATTGCTGTATACTTAATAACATTTTCCATATAAAATGATTTTTTTCTTTTTTTGAGACAGAGTCTCATTCTGTTGCCCAGGCTGGAATGCAGTGGCATGACCTTGGTTCACTGCATACTCTGCCTCTCATGTTCAAGCAGTTCTGCCTCAGCCTCCCCAGTAGCTGGGATTACAGGCATGCACCACCACACCCTGCTAATTTTTGTATTTTTAGTAGAGACAGGGTTTCACCATGTTGGCCAGGCTGGTCTTCAACTCCTGACCTTACGTGATCTTCCCACCTTGGCCTCCCAAAGTGCTGGGATATACAGGCGTGAGCCACCTTGCCCAGCCTAAAATGATTTCTTGTTTGTGGTTAATAACAATTAGAAAGCATAAATAATGGTTTTGTTAATGCCCTCTACCCAGAAACCACCAGAATCGCACTGGTAGTCAAAGAAAATTCGCCGTGTTGAATTGAAATTTGAACTCATGATCAAGAAAGGGCTGTGGCTTGTATCAGTCAGAGGGTGTTTTAAAAGGATTTACTGTCAGATTTGGTCTTATGTTCTGTGATTTTGGTTAGTGTTCAAGGGAGCCAGGATTTGGTCCAGATTGGATGATCTCAGGTCATGAATATAATTATCTGGGAACCCCCGAAGTTCTCATCTACAAAGCAGACGTTAAGTGGAGCTGAAAACTAATCAGTAAAGCAGCATCAGCCAGTCACACTGGGAAGAAGAAGGGAATGTTTGATCATTTCTGTGGTTTACAGGTGAGCCCCAGAACCAAAGAAGACATGTTTGACATCCCCAATTGAGAAAAATTTTCACGTGTTTTATAGGACCAAGGAGGCAGAAGCTTTTATGTTTTTTTTTTTTTTTTTTTTTCTGAGACGGAGTTTTGCTCTTGTTACCCAGGCTGGAGTGCAATGGCGTGATCTCGGCTCACCGCAACCTCCGCCTCCTGGGTTCAGGCAATTCTCCTGCCTCAGCCTCCTGAGTAGCTGGGATTACAGGCACGCGCCACCACGTCCAACTGATTTTTTTTGTATTTTTAGTAGAGACGGGGTTTCACCACATTGACCAGGATGGTCTCGATCTCTAGACCTCGTGATCCACCCGCCTCGGCCTCCCAAAGTGCTGGGATTACAGGCTTGAGCCACCGTGCCCGGCCAGCTTTTAGTTTTAATGAGCCAGAAAGTTCCACAATCCTGTTTAAGTTTTCCCAGGTATCATTTCAACCTCTGAACTTCCAGAATTGACTAGGGAAGAGGAAAGACATGTAACACCTTAGAGTTGTCTTAAAGGGCAAACAATATTCAGTAATCTCCATTACTTTCCATGTTAACGTATGTTTTCATAGCGCTCCGTACATTAATGTGGTTTCACAGTCAGTTGTATCTCTAACACCTCCTTACCCATCATTCCCTCTTAGCTGAAGAAAGTTAAGCACATGGAACACAGTCTTGTACATTGATGTAGCTCATGATGATGGAATCAAGTTTGAAGGCTTAATCTGTGCTTAAGTTGTACTGGGTATTGTCGTAACTTAAATTTAGAACACTGGAAAGTAGGTATAATTACTCAGTTTTACAAATAGGGTATCAAATTTTACAAATGGCTCCTAAGGCTCTATGGTATTCCTTTTATAAGACATGGAAAAGGGAAAGATAAACGAACACATCGCTGGTTAGAAGTGGGGGATTTGGGCCAGACGCAGTGGCTTACGCCTGTAATCCCAGCTCTTAGAGATTCAGAGGCGGGAGGATAGCTTGAAACCAGGAGTTTGAGACCTGCCTGGGCAATATAGCGAGACCCCATTCTCCACAAAAAGGAAAAAGAAGTGGGGGGTTTGAGTACAAAGGGGTGTAAGTGTTCTCTCATGATTGCAGTGGTTTTTTAAAAGCATTTATGAAAACTCATAAGGCTACTCTTAAAATAGCAAATTTTGCTGTATGTAAATTTTAAAGTTAACAAACAATAAAAATGCTTTGAGTATGTTAAGGAACTCAAGACCAGGTGCGGTGGCACATGCCTATCATCCCAGCACTTTGGGAAGCTGAGGCGGGAGGATCGCTTGTGGCGAGCTCGTTGGCTTCAGTGATCACGCACTGCACTCTACCCTGGGCGACAGAGCAAGACCCTGTCTGGAAAAAAAAAAAAAAAAAAAAAAAGGAAGGAATTCAAAACTGTCCTGAAACTTGATATATAAGTCTGCAAGAAGACTTTTCCCTTGCTGGGCGCAGTGACTCATGCCTGTAATCTCAACATTTTGGGAGACTGAGGCAAGAGGATCACTTGAGGTTAGGAGTTCGAGACCAGTCTGGGCAAAATAGCGAGACCTCAATTCTACGGGAAAAAAAAAAAAAAAGGTGAGCCAGGCGTGGTGGTGCACGTCTGTGGTTCCAGCTACTTGGCAAGCTGAGGCGGGAGGATCACTTGAGACCTGAAGGAACCATGATTGTGCCACTACACTCCAACTTGGGCAACAGAGCAAGACTGTCTCAAAAAAAAACCCAAACAAAACTTTTCCCCCACCATCTTGGGACTCTTCTCTGGAGGAATGCAGGGCTGAGTGACAAGGACTTATGCCTTGTCAGACCTTGTTTGAAACAGTCTGAAGTTTTGAAATAGGCACAAGGGCCATACCTGACTTCATCTCATACACAGAAAAGGGAGGTCTTCCAGAATCTGTCTTTGAGTTTACCAGGTTCTTTCCATC